GCGCTCGCCAGACAGACAGAGAGAGACATAGAGACAGAAAGCGAGAAATCACCTCCCAGGGGGGATGGTCACGCCGCAATCCCTTCTCCTCCATTCTCCTCTCAGGATCTTGGGCACGCACGCACATGCGCCCGGCGTGAGTTCTAAGCCACCGGGTCTGGGATGCGAACCGTGGTCAACTACGTGGGAATGCAACGACATAGCCATTACGCTAACTGCTGGTTCCCGTGAATTTCAATTCTGATCCTTTTATTTTCTCTGCCTAATAGAGGAACTAAAGGTGTTTTTGTTTTTTTTTTTTTTTCTTTTCTTCTTGTTTTTATTTATTTATTTATTTTTAGAGAGATTTTTGCTATGTGCATATACACTTGCTGTAGAGACAGACAGACACAGAGCAAGAAATCACCCACGGGGGGATGGCCATGCCATAATCCCTTTTCCTCTATTCTCTTCTCAGGATTTTGGGCACACACACACACACACACACACACACACACACACACACACGTGCCCGCACCCACTCCCAGCATGAACTTTAAACCATTCAGTCTGGGATGAGAACCATGGTTGCCTACATGGAAATCCAGCAATGTAAGCATTATACCATCTGCTGGTCCACAAAAGTGTTTTTTTCTAAAATTTGGCATAGAAGTTCAAGAAAGTTGTTTATTGAAGGAAAAAACTGTACAGGTATATTGCTTTGCTTAAAGTTCCTTTTAATGTTAGTCATGAAAAGCAGATATCTTAAACCTAAAATTTTTCTTTTAATGATACACACGTTCACATTTACTATTGAGAAATTGCTTGGACAGATTTTTCTGTATTTGTTAGTGTGAAGTTAGTATGTCAGATTAATTTGTTAGAAATGCATGTTAGAAAATACAAATCCATTTAATGTCTTGTGATAAGCTATCTTAATGTGAACAGATCATTCTGATATAATAATTTTAAAAAGCAAACCTGCAAACTACCCATTGTCTGATTTTTATTTATACTTTCAGATCAATTAAAACAGTCTCGTTTATTGACTACTATGAGACATGGTCTAATATAGCTACATCAAAAGCTACAGAATACTACAGAACTCCATGTAAGATGATCTAGCATTATCCTCTGTCCTTTTGGTATATGTTAATCTGTTAATTATCTTCAGCTTGTCTTGCTTTCAAAAACTAGTTGACACATATCTTCTATGTAAGAGTGATAAATGTTTCTGTTGTTTTTGTAAAAACACTCATTCAACAGCTATTAATTTGTTTCTTTTTTGTATAGTGCTCTGAAGTCTAATTAACACCTAGAAAAAAAGATAGGCAACTGGAGAAATAAAAGACCAATTTCTCAGTGTTCTGAGATTTACTTTACTCCCTTCACCCCAGAAAGAAGCCTTCACAGCAGGAGGGAACTTCTTAAAGTCTAAACACAATTATCCACTAAGCTAGAGAAATTATTAACTAAAAATTCAGCAAAAACTTAAGAACCTAGGGACACTCAATTATAGTAGTCTAAGAAGAAAATTCATTTTGCTACCATAATACTCATGCCTTACTTTATACTTTAGAAACTCAAAAAAGAGGGGCCGGTGGGTGGCATGGTAGGTGAGGGCGCTGGACTCGCACGTGGCCAGCTCTGGTTCAAGTCCTGGACCTGGCGACTTGCTTTCTCTCTCTCTCTCTCTCTCTCTCTCTCTCTCTCTCTCTGCTCTCTGGTCAAAATTAAAATAGATAAGTAAATAAAGTTAAATAAAATAGTGCTTTAAAAAAAGAAACTAAAAAGAGAGAATGGGAGAACTGGATAAATTTTTGGTTCTATTTCATTGGATTTTTTTTTCTTTTTTTAAGAATTATTTTATTTAACTTTATTTATTATTATCTCAATGGTATTTTTCAGTTTGATCAGAGAGAGACAGAGAGAGAGAGGGAGGAAGTGAGAAAGCAAGCCACCAGGTCCGAGACTTGAACCGTGGTAGGCCATGTGGGAGTCCAGCGCCTTTAACCACCATGCCACTTGCCGGCCCCGATATTTTTTTCTTTTTTTTAAAGAAGTTTTTGCCTTAGAATGTGTGCACTCTCTGGGAGAGAAAGAGACAGACACAGTGAGAGAAAAAGTGAGAAATCATCCCCTGGGGAGATGGCCATGCCACAATCCCTCCTTTTCCATTCTCCTCCTGGAATCTTGGGCATGCATGTAAATATGTCCAGCATGAGTTTCAAGTCACCAGGTGCAGGACTTGAACTGCCATCAGCCATGTGGGATTCCAGTGATGTAACTGCTACACCACCTGCTGGTCCCTAATTGGATTTTTTTAATGCTATACATATACCAGAGAGAGAGAGCGAGAGAGAGAGAGAGAGAGAGAGAGAGAGAGAGCAAGCACAAGCGAGCACCCACAAGGCCTGGTCATAGCACAGTCCTTTTTCCCTCATTTCTCTATTCTGTCAGATTTCTAGGTTCATGTCACATCCAGTGTGTTGTCCTCAGGGCCAGGACACCAACTACAGTTGGCCATGCGAGTTCCATCTCCCTCTGCATAGTGCTTAACTGCTCTGCTACAGGGGCTTGCCTTCATTTAATTAGACCTTGAGAGGACTATTTCATTATTAGAATCAAAGTGGGTTGTCCAGTCTATATATAATTACTGAAATAAGACTGCCTCGCTCATCCAGCTAAAATGGCCCATTCTGAAGTTAGCAGTGACTTCCTAATTCCCACAAAGTAGGTGATGACTATTAGTTATTTTTGTACTTGAACTCCCATCAGCTATGTGCCTTGACTTACAAGATACCATATATCAATGATCTTTTCCCAAGCACTCTCTTTCCTCTTTCCTTAGCAATAACTTCTTTGTTCAGTCCTCTGTTCCCACTCTCTGAACGACCTCTTCTAAACACCATGGTTTTCATTAGTCTACATCCCAGTGATTCCTAAACCTGTATCTTTAGCCAGACTCCTCTTAATTCTGCATGCATATCTATAACTGTGCATTGGACAACTCCCTACATGTATGTATAGGTATCTCATATTTAAGATGTCTCAAAAACTGCCCTTCTTTATTCTCTCTCTTGGTGAGTGGTAGCATTTTATTGCCTAAGCCTTATCTTAGACATTTCCTAGACTCCTTATTTCTTTCACTAAGGCTTATTGTTTTATAAATGTTCTGTTCTGCTCTATCCCCTTCATAACTACTACCTTAATTTGTAGTCCCATCATGCATTATTTCATCATTATGAGAGTTTTCTAATGATCACACACACACACACACACACACACACACACACACACACACAAGTGTCTATTGGATTGTCAGAAAAGTCATGATATATTTTTGCATAGAAAGTGAGAAATCACCTCTAGGGGGGATGGCCATGGGCAATCCCTCCTCCTCCATTCTTCTCCTGGGAATTTTGGCACACACACAAACACACACACACACACATGCCCAGTGTGTTTCAAGTCACCAGGTCTGAACCATGGTGTGCCATTTGGGAGTCCAGTACCTTAACCACAATACCATCTACTGGCCCCTTAACAAATGTTTTCAAAAGTAATCTATGTCAGTAACTTTTAAGAAATTACATGTTCTTTCAGGAGGTTGGTTATTAATTTTGTGATTATACATTACCATCTTCACTAACTCAGATTAGTGGTTAGAAATTATTTAGCTTTCCAGTTTAGGCCCGGCAGAATGGCTCCTGCAAAGAAAGGTGGCGAGAAGAAGAAGGGCCATTCTGCCATCAACAAGGTGGTGACCTGGGAATACGCCATCAACATTCACAAGCGCATCCATGGCATGGGCTTCAAGAAATGTGCCCTTTGGACACTCAAAGAAATCTGGAAATTTGCCATCAAAGAGATGGGGACTCCAGATGTGCGCATTGATACCAGGCTCAACAAAGCTGTCTGGGCCAAAGGAATAAGGAACATCCCATATCGAATTTGTGTGCGGTTGTCCAGAAAACTAAATGGAGGACGAAGATTCACTCAATAAGCTCTATACTCTGGTGACCTATGTACCTGTTACCACTTTCAAAAGCCTACAAATAGTCAATGTGGATGAGAACTAACTGCTGATTTTCAAATAAAGTTATAAAACCAAAAAATTAAAAAAAAAATTATTTAAGGTGCTTTAAGATCCTCAGTTCTAGTAACTCTAACTCTATCAGTATAATGACTGTGTCTCAACCCCAGGGTTCTTGAACTTTCACCTCATTTCAGAGAGTTGTGGTTGAGTTCTGCCTATTCAATTCAGCAAGCATATCTGAGTACCAACCATGTATGGGGCACCGAGGAACTCAGAAGGCTTCCGGGAGATAGCCCTTAATTACCAAACACACCGTGGAGAGACATCAACTGGAAAACTCCAGAGAGCAACTCTGAGTCAAACTTCTTCAACCAAAAACCAAATAAGATGATGCTTTTCAGAATGACATGCAGACACATACAGAACATTTGAAACTCCAAACCACTGAAGAAAAAATAATAATAATAAAAGCACATGCCCAAACGTAAGGAGATTTGGAAACGACTGTCTTGTAATAAAGACCAAGTGAATAAGCAAAGGAAATAATGAAGCGCCGATGAGTGCAATTTCTTCCTCAAAAGAGTTGGACTCCAAAATGTCTCACTTTATGGTTTCGACAACTGTCACTCACCTAGTTTATAACTCATTCCTCTTTATAAAGGCAATAGCTGGTAATGGTGATCTCCACCCAGAAGAATTGTTGAGACTTTGAATCTAGCTCACGGTGTAAAATTTCACAGTTACCCTGCCCCTTCTTCCCTTAGGGAATTGCATTAGGAATGTTTCAAGAGTGTTTCTTCAATAATAACCAGCACTTAATTAAGAAAAAATTAAATGTAAACTTCACATGTGCTGCTGGCCATTTCTGTCTTTGGAACATTCAGCTGGATGAGATCCAGCACTGTCTCTTTTAATGACTTAATTTCCTGGCAATAATACAGAAGAAGCTTGTAGATTATAGAATGCTGCTTTCAGAAATAAGAGAGAAATTTCTAATAACTTCATTTTCTATAGTTACATTCTTATCATTGGAAAGATGATCAACTACATATTTTCAAGAGCTTTATCTTTTATGAATAGTGGTGAGTAGTTGTATTTTGACTTTGGATATCAACTCTTTTTTATATCTTTCTGTCACAAATCTATACATAGTCATTGGTGCCATCGCAATAGTCAGGTTTTTTTCTTATTTAATGCAGTTTGCAAAGTGTGCTCACATCTATAACGTTTTCATTATACTTTAAATCGTTCCAATCTATCGTCTTATTCAACTAATATTTCTTGAACACTGAATGCAGTCAAGCATTGTGATGTATCAGTCCTGTGGGGTAGGCATTATTATTTTTATCCTGTTTTACTGATGGAAAAAAGCAAGACCAGGAGAAACTAAACAATTTACTTGAAGTCACATACGTGAAGGAGAATGTCATATTGGCCAAGTGTACATTCTGGAAACAGGTTGCCAGTCCTTAATCCTGGCTCTGCTGTTCACTAGCTGAATAACCTTGGGTAAGTTTTTTTTAACTTCTTTGTGTCCCAGTAAGAAGAAAAGAAAAAAAAATGAAAGCTTTTTTTTGGTGTTTAAAGCTATTTCATAGGATTGAAGCACTTATAGCAATAGTGCCTAGCATGTAGTTAGTACTCAGTAAGTATGGTGTTACCTAAGTAAGATGTGGTCCAGGGGCTTGAATCAGACTCTCTGAGATCATATGGATAGCTCTTTTTATGATATTATATTGCCTCTATAGTATGACATCAAAATGTTATCTTCATATAACTTGAGATTTAAATTTGATCGGGGAAGTATATTCAGTACATTTATCTAGAGTTGCCATTTTCAGTTCACAATCATGGGCAATCCTATGGAAAAATGTACCAACGATCTACTGTTCTCTGTCCATCACTACAGAATGGCAAGTAAAAGGTTTGGCAGAGAACAAACCAATACATATGGTTGTGGGCCACAGCGCCTTAATGACAGACTATGATCCGCATAAGGAAATGTTTACGTTAGAGGAAAGGCATTCCCTCAGACCAGTGTACTCTGTCATACCGACAGAGGCTTCCTGATG